CTCTTGGCCAATGACTAAGATTTTCTTATATGCTAACTCAGTCTTAATTATCAACCATAACCATTAATCTATATATTTGTAAGACTTATCTTATAGAGGACACTGGCTGTATGCCTTCTCTCTTGCCAGTGGATCACATGGCGGCTCCACAGAGAGGAGGGGGAAGAGAGCAACTTCCTCTTTATCCTTGCTTATATTCTGAGTTGGCCTGCTATGTCACTTCCTACCTAGATCACAAGATTTTACTACATTTCCCAGAATCCTCCTTGACTCCTAGTCCCGCCTAACTTGCTGCCTCATAGGCTTTATTCAACAACCAATAAGATAAACACACCCAGAAGGACCTTCCTCATCATCTCCTCTTTTCTGTCTAAATGAAAAGAAGGGTTTTAACATTAACATAGTAAAATATATAACAAAACAGTTATCAAGTAAGAACTATAGTTACAATATTTAGTCCACTAACATTTAGCGAGATTTAAAGAAAATATTCTATCATCTGTCCTATCTTTGTGAGTCTAAGGTCTTATATGTAACTTATCTTCTATAATAACTAAAGAAAACTATAACCATAACTATTTGTATTCAACTCCATCAAAGACCACAGAAGGATAATATATAAACTCTAGAATTGACAGAGACATCTCACTACCTGGACAGTCACCCAAAGTTCCTCTGTAACTTTGGGGCATCCATCTTCAGCCTATAGGCCACAGTGTGACCTGCAGGCTCTCCATGAAGCAGGAACTGTCTTGTTTTGCCAGTTCCACAGTCACTTTCCTGTGGGTCCTGGCATGTCCAAGTTTATACAGCAATGAACAGTCTAGGCAAGAGCAGTTTCTTACCCAAATGGCTAATCTTGCCATGTTGAAGGCAAACTCCATAACGAGTTCCTTTAATGTCCATCCTCCTTTCTGACGTAATTGGTGTGCCAGGAGCAGTTGTGTCTCACTGTCATGAAAAACCCTAAACCATTTAAATGCCATGTATTCTGTAGGTCTTTGAAAGGTTTGAAGACTATCTATCCATCCATAATAGACTATCTATTATACTTGACTATATAATCTGTATTTAATTATGCATTACATTTTAAAAGATATGTATAAACACAATACCTAAACAAGAGGAGAAATATACATATCACAAAATTGATCTTAAAGTTGTTTCAATAAATGAAAATCCACACCAAGGCAAAGTATTCATATCTATATCCTATTTCCCCTTTTTCCTTTAAAAAGAGATTGACTGTGATCATGACCATTTATAACCAATCCCATTTAAATGAAAACAAACATTTATAAACAGTATTTGGAAATTTGGGCGTTGTTCATTCCAAACTACTTCCTGCTGGGTGGGGGGTGATGTCCTTACCATGGGGATCATGATAAAACACAGAAATCCTGGGTATAGTCGTCTATGACTGCATCATCTCAGCTGTTTTGGATGTAGGATAAGTTGGGCCACTGCTTCAGGGGGTCTTGCTTGGTCAAACCATATTAGTCTGGAAGGGATCCATAGCTTTCCATTTTCTGTGGAAACATAAGCAAACACACACATGCGCGCACGCGCGCGCACACACACACACACACACACACACACACACACACACACACAATGTGAACATAACATGGAAAAATATATCAGTGTATCTAGGCATGTTGGCATACTTGTGTAACCCCAGAACTCAAGAGACTAAGAGAAGAGAATAGCAAGTTCTAACCATCCCAGGCTACTCTATCAGAGATCTGCCTATCTCAAAACAACAAACAAACAAACAAACAAACAAACAAAAAACAAGGGCTGAGAATGTAGATAAGTAACAGGTGACTTTCCTATTCTGTTCAAGGTTCTGGGTTCAACCTCTAGATTGAAAAATGAGATTATGTATCTTTTATACATCTTATCAGTGCTCTGTCTGTCTGTCTGTCTGTCTATCTTATAAATCAGAGCTTCTCATCACAAGTAACAGGGAAAACAGAGGAGGGGGTGGGGAGATAGATTAATTAGTAAAGTACTTGCCTTGCAAACAGGAGGACCTGGGTTTTGATTCCCAGCACCCATTAAAAACAAAAACAGTAAAGCTGGGCATAGTGGTGCACACTTGCAATCCTAGTGCTGGGGACACAGATCCAGGCAGATCCCTGGTGATCACTGGCCAGTGAGCCTGCTCTGCTTAGTGAGTTACATGGCAGTGAGAGATCCTGTACTGGGGCAGAGGGCCATAGGGCCAGTTTATGAATAACGGGAATGGTCCAAGATGTCTAACACTGAACATCCAGGGGGCTATGAGTCAGAAAAAAGTAGTTGTCACCAGATGTTTGTAAAGCATAAACTTCTCTGAATGGTAGATGTCACTTATGTAAGTATTTATTTGTACAAATATGGCCTTTAGGACCAGAGGCCTTAGCTTTTACTTGAGCCTTTACCAGACTGCCCGTGTGTGTCTGTGTGCTATCTCTATGCAGCCCCTGTACTGATCACCCTGTGTGTGTGCCTGTGCCTGCTTGTATGTGGCACGAGTGTGCTGGTGTGTGCCTGGGTTCCTGATGATGTCTGCCTGCCTAGTGGCCTTTGTCCAGAGTGAATGAAATACATTCACTTACTTTCATTTCCTCACAATCTCTTCCCTCTCTTTGCCTACAAGACTGCATTTTTCTCCTGCATGGTAACCTGGACCTCACAGCTGGCAGAGTCAGCAGGATCCTGAAGAGGTGGACTGGAGCCCTGAGTCACTGGGAATGGAGCAGATGGAGATCAACAGTGTTTTGACTGTGCTGAAAGCTGGCCTCGAAGACACTTTGCAGTGAGAAGCTGAAGTACGATTGAGAGCCAAGAGAAAACCTCAGTTCGTGATTTGGAGCATTAAGTCCCTTTTATAAAAAGGAAGGGTATATAGACAGAGCCCTGGGGTGCCAGTCCTTGCCTGGTTGTTGAACCTCTGGGATAAGGGGGTAGAATGTCTCATTAACTGCAGGACAGATGGAGAAATTGACCTCTATCACCACCTATCCCTCTTTGAGGAAGTGCCTACAGGTCCCAAGGCCACAAAACTGGGGAGAACAGTTGCTAATGAGCTGGCTTATAGCCAGAGTATGTCTGGTATGGACCAACGCTGGCAAATTGCCAGAGACTATGAGTAAATAAACCACCTACTTGTACTTAATACTGATAGTCTGAGGGTAAAAAATATGCCAGGCTCACCAAATGAAACAGTTGCTCTTGAGAAGCCCAGGCTACCCTGTGCTGCAAACAGCAGGCCTCCTCCTACCGTGCCAAGGCTGGGTGCATTGCTACTGTATTTTTACGTGAAGTTCTATGGATCTCACTATTCATCGATCCCCCATTAATGTACACTTATTGACACTGGAGCTGACTGTATTTTTGTCTGTGGGAACCTGGACTGGTGGTGTACATGCATGACCAAGGCATTGTTAGTGACTATGACTATTTGGCACCCCTGGCCATATACATAAAAAAAATAAAAACAAGACTCATAGTCTCTGCGGTGGTTTGAAAGAAAATGTCCCCAAAGGGAGTGGCACTATTAGGAGATGTGGTCTGGCTGGAGGAAGTTTGTCACTGTCAGGGAGGGCTTTGAAGTCTTTTTCTCAAGCTTCCCTCAGTGTGACAGTAGTCTACTTCCTCTTGCTACTGAGTCGAGATGTAGGACTCTCAGCTCCAGCACCACATCAGCCTGCGTGCTGCCATGCTCCCCGTCATGATGATAACGGACTGGACCTCTGAAAGTGTAATCGAGGCACCCTTGATTAATCTTTTCTTTTCTTTCTTTGCCTTTTCTTTCTTTTTTTTTTCTTGATTTTTTGAGACAGGGTTTCTCTGTGTAACAGTTCTGGTTGTCTTGGAACTTGCTTTGTAGACCAGGCTGGCCTTGAACTCACTGAGATCTGCCTGCCTCTGCCTCTCAAGTGCTGGGATTAAAGGTGTGTGTCACTGCTGCCCAGCAAATGTTTTCTTTATAAGAGTTGCCATGGTCATGGTGTCTTCAATAAAAACCCTAACTAAGACAGCATCTGAGGAAAGACTTCAAGGTTGACCTTTGACCTCCAAATTCTCATTACTCATGTCTATTTCATACATGAATACACGGTTGTATGAACTCATACAAACATACCCTTCTATATGAACAGAGATGAGGGAGGGAGGGATAGGAGAGGGAAGAGAAAGAGAGAGAGAGAGAGAGAGAGAGAGAGAGAGAGGAGAGCTTGCTTCTCAGCCCAGAGAAGTGTAGTGTTAAGGCACTGCAATTGCTTTTAGATATAAAAGACATTCTTACTAGTTACAACAGCAAACATTTGATAACTGTTCTTGTTAAAAATTTAAAAGACAAAATTAAGCAATTACTGCCCAATTTAGTTCGGCAGAAAATGGAACAGAGCGACAGAGGGGATTAGCTAATTCTTTTCTTTCTTTCTTTTTTCTTTTTTCGGTTTTTCAAGACAGGGTTTCTCTGTGTAGCTTTGGAGCCTATCCTGGCACTTGCTCTGGAGACCAGGCTGGCCTTGAACTCACAGAGATCCACCTGCTTCTGCCTCCCGAGTGCTGGGATTAAAGGCGTGCACCACCAACGCCTGGCAGGATTAGCTAATTCTAACACACTGACACACACACACACAGACACACAGAGACACACACACACAGACACACAGACACACAGACACATACACACACACACACACACACGTGCACTCGAGCACTCATGACAAAACTCAACCCAATCCATTATCTAACCTCAATAGTTCTGAAACTGGACCATCTAAGAGAAGATGCTGTCTTAATTTCTTTACCTTTTGCTGTGTTAAAAATACTCTGACAAAAGCCATTTATTTATACAGTTTTATCTATCTTACACTTCCAGGTATAATAAATTATTGCTGGGAAGTCCCAGTCACGTTATAGTCACAGTCAGAAGCAGCGAGCAATGAATAATGCTTGCCAGTGCTCAGATCAGCATTTCTACTTTCAGGATCCCTTGCCTAGGAATGGTGCCACCCATAATTGAATCTTCCCACATCAATTCACATAATAAGATACCCCTCAGAGACATCCTCAGAGCCTAACATTTATCTAGATGATCCCTCACAGGTCTACCTAGAGGCCTGCCTCCTATGCGTTAGGTTGACAATTACTGTCAACCATTATAACTGGTCAGGATTATGGGCATAGTGAGCCATTCATTACTTCCAGAGTGACCCAGGACAGTGTGGGCCCACAGAGGATGCCCTCCAAACAGAATAGGGTCACTCTTGGTGCCTACAAAGCCATAAGCAGCCTAGGGAGATGACTGTGGAAGGAGAGTTCTTCCATTTTGAGGACAGCTTGGGGACAATTTGTAGGCTGGGTGTCACCAAACAAGGATAATTTTATTGGGGAACCTCAGGCACATTTGTATTGTATGAACATCATCCCACAGTAGGGACAGGCCTCTTCCTTAGCATGCTCTCTTGGTGATTACACTGTTTCACACACTATATGTTCATAGTCGGTAGATGAGAGAATTTAACATTATAATGAACAAGTTTACTTTAGGTCATGGGGAAGGATGATCCCACATTTTATGGAAGGACTTCTCTGAAACCAAAAACCGACTTGAAGAGATATTTGGAGGCTCTTTAAGGGCCAACAAAGCCTGGGAGTTTACTTTTGAGTTCCTAACTACAAGCTATCAGGTGCAGGACATGATAGCTTGATGCTATCCCAAAGCTGGCTGCAGAACTGGGCTCATGAGTACGCATCAGGTGCTGGGTGATCACAGGTTGGCAGGACCAACATGGCCCGTCAGATGCCAGGGAATCCTACCAGCACCAGCCTGTGCCAGACATACTTGGCAAAAAGGACTCTTTTACGTCTTTCTCCAAAGCCTGCCTCAGTTTCTCAGCCAGCGCCTTGGCTTCTGGGAGCCTGGTGTATGCTGAGGGAGGGGCTGGGCTTTAATGTGAAAGCACTCAAGATGGAGCTTGTGATTGATTGCGGTTCAGATTTCAGAGCACCCAGGGCAAGCAGAAGAGCCACCAGCTCTCTGAGGGACATTCAGATAAGGTGGCTGGGGTCAGATGCCATGGCCCAAGAATTGAGCGGTTGGAGATTCTTGTAATTTGGGAGGCTGGAAGGAAGCAGCAATATCTTCAAAATTCTGAAAGAAAATTGTGTTGATTTGGGCCACACTACACTAGCTCTGTGGATTTGCTCAGCTGCCAGAGCCCGAGTCACAGCCCTAGAGGCTTCTACCAAATAACACATTTTCTCACATCTGTGGATGATGAAAGTCTGTTACTGAAGTGTCAGCAAGTTTGATTTCTTCCTGGGCCTTTCTCCTTACCCAGAGATGGTCACTCCCACACCCTATACTTACGGGCTCGTTATTTACAAGGTCACTTTGCATCGTCTGTGTCCTAATTTCTTTTTTAGCTTATCTTTTTGTGTATCGTACTCGTGTATCATATGTGCATGCATGTCCGTGTGTGTGTGTGTGTGTGTGTGTGTGCATGCCTGTGTGCTTGTCAGAGGAGCA